GATGATAAAGTTTCCTTGATGTCAGAGAAATTTTGTTTTTTTGTTTTTTCTTGAGTTGGGTTCATTCATTACCAAGGCTGTTGAGAAAACACATTTTTTTTGCAGCGAGTTTTCGAGCCTCGTACAGCGCGTTTGACCTCGATTTTTTTCGTCGTTCTCGTCCTTTCTTTATCGCCCCCGGTTTGCTTGTAAGATTTGTAGCAGTTGTGCACCGAGAGCACGGAAGAATCTAGCCCGAAGCATTTTCGAGCTGCAGCCGCGCACAGCATGTAGTCACGCGCGAATTTGCCTTGCGGTGTGGCAATTCGACTGCCGCCATTTGATCGGGAAGGCGTCGGAAGGTGTGTGGCCCTGACGTCGCTGGAGAGTTCGATCGAGTCTTTGCTGCTCGTCTCAATGCCGAGCTTGCCTCTTCGAGCTTCCATCATGAGATTCGTCTTGTGATGGGCAGTGCAATGCAAACATGGTTCACCAGGGTACTGTGTCGGGCCCAGCCCGTGGATCGAGCATCATACACCCGCCAGAGATCCAACGTTAATTGGTGGTTTCCACGAAGTCGTTGTTGCAGACGATCCGAACGCATTTACGTTTTTCAAAAACACAGTAGATGGCATCGCAATGTTGCTTCAGTCAGGTGCGTGCCAGCAAGAATTGCGCGCGCGGGGTCGTGCGAGCGTTCTGACGTCTGAACCTGAAAAGGAAAGCGACCGCATTTTGTTTCGCACGTCTCTTGCGGGGGGCACTTCCAAAATTTGGGCGACGAATGTATGTATGTATGTGTGCGTGTATATATATATGTAAATGGCATGCGAGCGCGGCAATCTCGCATTTCGCGCGCGCGCGAGGGTGCGGTTTTGTAGAAATATGCTTGGCAGCTCCTTGCTTGTCCACAGCTCGAGTTCGTGATGCTGCAGACTAACGTTCGTGATCATTCCCGTGTGTCCCTTTTCTGTAGTTTGCCTACAGCTTGAATTTAGCAGAGAAAACCACCACCTCAAATTCGAAGAGAACGTAAATAGTTTTTTTAGTAACAGTTTTGGTAGCAGGCCGATTTGAGGCCTGAATGCTTTCATCTAGCACTTCTCAGCATCTTCTGTCGATTGATGTATATCTGAGGTCCGTATATAGCCTGCAGTTCGAATGGAGTACAGTAAACGAACGTCATCTCTCACAAAAAGTTGCAGAGCGCAAGTAGTTGTTCAGTTATAGCTTTGGTAGCAGGCGAATCTCAGACGTCTCGGCAGCGTGGGCGACTGTGGCGGGTGATTTCAAGTTGAGCAGTGTGTTTTCCAGCCCCCATAGCTAGCATGTAAGTCAAATTGGGAGCAGCAATCCAGCGCCGTCTCAAAAAAATACAAGGGTGCAAATAAGTAGACCGACCTCCGGCGTCTAGAGACTTGAGACTGGTGCTTGTCAGCATTGCCTGTCGATTGGTGTGTTTCTCAGCTCCGTAGCTGGCCTGGAGCTCGAATTCAATTGAGCAAACACATATCATTTTTCGTAAACTATTTTCAGTGCGAGTAATTTTTCACGCAGCTTTGGTTGCAGGCCGAATTGAGACGTCTCGATAGCGTAGGCGAATATGCCTGATTATTTCCTGTTTCGAGTGTGCGTCCCAGCTCCGTAGCCAGCCTACAGCTGGAATGAAACAGAGAAAACGAATACCTTCGCTCAAAAAAAAAAGATTACAAATAGTTTGTTGGTCCAAGCTTTGGTAGCATACCGACCTCGGACATCTAGACACTTGAGACTTGCGTCCTAATAGTTTCCTTTCGATTCCCGTGCCGAACAGCTCTGTAGCTCATTTGCAGCTCGAGTTAACTTAAGAAAACAGGCAGCACCTGCCAATGAACTTCAACATCAAATCCCGCGTGAGTGCTTTTTCGTAGTAAGATCCACCCGATCGACCTGATATCAAGATGGCGAGCGGGAGTAAGATCGAATTTGGGGGAAAATATTAGAACTCTAACGAAGTGTAGAATTCCGAGACAATTATCTACATGTACAAAAAACAATGCTTCCGTCGACATTTTTCGACAACTAGCCCGACAGCGCGCCGGAATTACTCTCAAACTTCGCCGCTTCGCTCTTAGGGAAGTTCTACGAGTCCTGTTGATACATGACGCGACTAGCAGTTGTGCTTTTGAAGGTAGTTGGAGATCGTTGCAAATATTGAATTGCCCAACGCCGCTTACTCCAGGCCTGTGGGATTCAAGAGCTGGGCGCCCTCTTGAAGTTGTAATCTGCCCCATTCGCAGTCCGCCGAGACAGCACCATTCAAGGGGTGATCCACAAAACGGCGCTGGGTAAGGATCCAGGTGTGTTTTTCTATTTTTTGGTCCTGACCTATCTATCCCTCTTCGTTATCGTTCCTTCCGCTCATCATCCGCCTCCCACCGTCGTTACTTCAGGCATTTTGTGGATTCCGAAACAGCTCGTTTTCAGGAATCTGTCACTCGATCTGCTGTCGGTGCTGTGCGTGTGTATAATATACTTTCAAACAGCATTCTTGAGTAGGGAACCGTGAAGCAGTTCCAGGTGTGCTTACAAGATCTTGTCTGCTTCTCTGCGCGCAACGGAGTTGCGTCGTGACAGGCGCTTTTAAGCTGACGTCAACCATTTGCTTTCCACCTTATTTTTGCCCAAAGGAATTGGCAGCCAGCTTAGCCGCAGCTTCGGTGTGTGTGTGTGTGTGTGGTATCACACGTTCAAAAATGTTTGGTGAGGGGTTGTGCAGTCCGAGGCGTGGTTTTTTTCGACGAAAACGCACGCAGCGCGCGTAGCCAGGCCGCCAATAGTCCACGCCAGCCAGCGCCGCGCCGAGGAGATTTCGTTTCGCTCGGCGTTGCTCCAGTCCCTTCGCCGTCACCATGGCCTTGGCCCTGTGCATCGGTCGGTGGGGGTTTGCCTGGTTCGGCTGGGGCCTTGACCTCTTTCCTTTTTTCTTCTGCTTCCTTTTTTCACCTGTTCTCCTCTGGGCCGTTGCCTTTCCCTCCATTCTCTTTTGGTATTTCGGCTCCTCCGTCCCCGGGTCTTCATCCCGGGGCCGTCCCCTCCCTTCGCGCACCCCGGGTCTGAGGTTTTGCCCTGGTCGCCGAGGATTTTCCTTTGTTCTGCTATTGTCTCCGTGCCTTGCGCTGTGCTTTGGCCGCTGGCGTGTTGGTCTTCATCTTTGGTCTCTGGCCGTCCATGGCCCGGCTGCTGTGCCCTGGTCGCCGAGGATCTTCTCGGTTCGGCTATGTTCTCGGCCTCCCCGGTGCTGCGCCGCGGTCGCCGATGGTTTTGTTTTGGTTCGGCCGTGCCTTCTGCTGTCCCCATCCCCCAGTTGCCCGCTACGGCTCGGGGCCCCATTCCCCGCTGCTGTCCTGCCCTGGTCGCCGAGGATTTCTTTGTTTCGACGTGTTCCCATCTCTCTGGTGCTGCGCCCTGGGCGCCGAGGTTGGTTCTCTTTTTTTACCCGAGTGTCCCTGGCACTGGTGCTGTGCTTTGCCGCGGAGGATGTGGTGCTTTCGTGTTTCTTCCGCAGCCCTGATTATGTATTCTAGTGATTGGGATTTTCTTGGTTCGGCCCTGTCCCCGATTATCCCGTGCCGTGCCCTGCTGCCACCGAAGATTCTCTTGGCTCGCAGTGTCGTCACCAACAGGCGCGTTTCCAGTCGAATCGTTCGGGTTCTACGCGTGGGGCTCATTCTGGTGGATGGGGCGGAGACCCCAGTTTGTCGATGACGTTCTGCTTCTCGGCGAGTTCTTTTGGCTGCTGGGTATTCGGTTGGTGCGGCTGTTCGGATAATTCCGCTCTCTCGTTCTCCTTGTCGTCGTCGTCGCTAACGTCGAAAGCACGAGTTTCCCCCGCCAGAAAGCGTCCGCGATGGCCTCCTCCTCCTCCTGCTCCTCCTCTTCCTTCTCTTTCCCCTTCCCCTCTTCCTCCTTCTCTTCCTCCATCTCCTCCTCCTCCTCCTCCTCCTCTTCCTCCTCCTCCTCCTCCTCCTCCTCCTCCTCCTCCTCCTCCTCCTCCCCCCCACCTTCTCCTCTGGCGCTTTTCGTTGGCGTCCTGGGATTTGCTTGGCTTGACTGGCCCTGGCTGCTCCCAGATGTCCCGTTGGACCTGGCTGGAGCTCTGGCCTGTTCGGCTGTTTATGGCTGTGTCTGCCCGTTGCACCCTGGCTGCTCGGGATTCGCCTTGGCTCGGCTGTCCCAGCCAGTCCAGGCTGTTCTTGCAGCGCTTGGTTTCTGGAGATTTGCCTGCAACTCAGAGGAGGAACATGCACCCATACCTCTACCCCTTCGACCGTTTTCCCTTGTGCGGGCCTCCTGCGAGGCCTCCGTCGCCACCGCTGGACTCGCTTCGAAATTCTGGTCAGAACGTACCCAGGGAGAGGTCAGGGGAATGGCTGTATCAGTACCTGTTGGTCTCCCCAGAAGCGGCTGCTCCCAGCTGTTTCTGCTGGACCTGGCCGCGGGAGGTGTGCTGGTTCGGCCAACTGCACTGTTAAGCCTGGTTGTTGGGCATTTGTGTGGTTCTGCTGGTCCCAGTTGGCTTGGGTTTTCGTGGGTTCTTTTGCAGCGCGTATTTGCATGGACCAGTTTGTGAGTTATGTTTGATCTTGTAATATGACACTGTCTCATGGGTCTCGATGATTTTATCGTTATGTCGTGGTGTTCCGTGATTTGCGGTCCAGGCGCCCGTTCGATTTGTTCTTTGTCCGTTACGGAAGGGCAAAAGCACGATTCATCGAATTCGGCAGTCTCTGCGCTTTCTTGTTTGGTTTAGTCTGAATTGTTGTTTGATATTCCTCGCATGTGTTGTTAAACTGATCCGTATTCCATGGTCGAAGACACCTTATTTTCATGTCCCGCCATCCTGCTTCCCTTGATGCAGATAGGGAGGCTCACGATTCGTGCCTCGGTCTTCCGCGGAGAGCACTGGGGATTGGATGATCGAGTGAATGGCATCGGCGACAGCAGTAGGGTGTCCATGAGGAGAGCCGCGCCTTCTACAGCGGTTCTGGATGGCCCCCCCGGTTGCGCGTGTAGTAGACGCTCTCACAGGCGAGCTGGTGTGCGAGGTCGCGGCCGGAACATAAGATAGAACCTTCGGCTCGTCTGATAGTTGGCTTGGTGTTGATGACGGCGATGAAGCCGCCGACGCCGCCGTCATTTTCATTTTGTTTGTGCCGTTTCTGGGGATTCGTCGCCACGGCTGGACGCGGCTCGGACAGAGGGCCAAAATGGACCTTCGGATATCGGGCGACGAAATCTATACATATCCATTGCTCCCTGGCCAGGCCCATCCTGAACCCAGGAGTTGTGCATACGCCCTCCTGGCCACGCCAGGAGGGCGCAGCGTATACACAGCTGCTGGGTTCAGCATGGGCCTCGCCAGGGAGCAGTGGATATGTATAGATGTCGTCGCCCTACGGATAGGCCCAGGGATTTTAGATTCGACGGATTTTGGTCGGGGTGGGTCGAGGGCGCCGGCCATCTGCTGCCCAGAGTCTCGCGGAACGCATCCGTCGTGAGTTTTTGGTTCGGGGGGTATTTTTGGTTGCTGCAGGGGCCGATCGGGGTTGCTGTAGGGTCTCTTTTTCGGGAGCGCGGGTCGTAGGTGCTTCTGCGAAGAAAAGACTTGGCGTTCGACTGTCAGAGGCGATCCGTTCGGAGCCAAAAAGGTAGGAATTCTCGATGAACGTCGTGTGGACAAGTGGACCAAAACGGGAAGCCCTTTGGACGCTGCGGTTGGATTATCTCCAGGGCGCCGGTAATGATAGCGTTCGGAAGTTTGATCGGTGTCGATATTTACGGCGCTCAGAAGAAGGGCGCCGCTTTGGGGAATAGCGCTATTGACATCCTGCCTTCGGCGGCACCCAGCGGAAGTCTCACGGAGGCCGGGCGGCTCCGCCAGCGGAAGCCAGCGGATGATCGGCGGAAGCGGGCAGGACTCAAAGCTGGTCCCCAGCGAGGTGAGGGTGTGTCAGCGTACCCACGGTGTCTAGAGTCGGTCAGGTCGATCGTAGCGGACGGCCACCGCTTTTTATGGAGTTGGGGATCGTTGTGCACATTCGTGCTTTGGTGCAGCGAAGGACAAGGAGGGAGTAGAGAGAACCATCGCGTCACCGTGTTTGGGCTGTCTGGTTGGAGGCAATAGATACTGCGTCTCCCGTCTTCGCCCCATCGACCTGTTGTGAAGTTCAGATTGTGCAATTGTTGGCCTTTTTGCCGCGTGCTCTTGGGTAGATTGGGGGTCATGGAAAACACGCGCATACCCATACATATTCAGATTATTATGTACATCCCCCAAACGGTGATTGTACTTGGGGGCTCTTACTTCTTCTCTAATTACGTTACTTTGCATTGCGTTCAATTGGTTTGCATTGCTTTCTGTACGGTGCTTTGCGCTGCTTTGCATTGATTTCTATTGCTTTGCATTGCTTGCCTGAACTGCTTGGCATTGTTAGGTATTGCTTTGCATTGCTCTGCGCTGCCTTGCATTGGCTTGCATTGCTTTGCATTTTTGTGCGTTGCTTTGCATTGCTGTGCCGCCTGCCGTCACATATATTTTCCTTTCTAAAAAAGAATAGGTTATACCATCCTCCCCTCCCCGGGGTTAAAGATCCCCGGGAAGCGATGTAACACACATAGGATTCTGACCCAATGTCCATCCTTCCTGTGAGTTCATATGATCCCAGCCAAACCGGTATCGCCCCCCCCCCGCCATCCTCTGCAAAAAATACTATGCGCGCACACTCGTTTAGAAAAGTCTGAAGTTTTCGAAATCCCTGGCAACAAATGAAACGAAGTGCACACCCGCGCGTCGTCGCGCGCGCATGCCGAAATCCTTCAAAAACTTTCGGGTTCGGAAGGATTTCCAAATCGAGTTTCCAAAAAACATTAACACACAGGGTTTCGCAATACTGATTTTCTAACAAAGCTTGCACGCACGCTCTTGCAAAATCTTTAGCTTTAGAAAGCCATGCGTTTTTCAACATCTTCGAAACATACTACCAAACGGGCTTTGCGCGCGCATGTCGAAATCGTTCTATTCCCTTGCGCGCGTGCCGTCGCGAGAATCCTCTGCAAGAAACGGGACGAAGTGCACGCGTGCGCGTCGTCGCGCGCGCATGCCGAAATCCTTCAAAAACCATCGGTTTCGGACGGATTTCAAAATCCAGTGTCCAAAAACATACAAATACACAGGTTTTCGCAACACGGATTTTCAAGAAAAGCGTGCGCGCGCGCTTTTGCGTCGTCGTCGTCGTCGTCGTCGCCGTCCTCCCTCCTCCCTCGTCGTCGTCCTCGTCATCGCCGTCGTCGTCCTCTGTCGTTCCTCGTCGTCGTCGTCGTCGTCGTCGTCGTCCTCGTCGTCGTCGTCGTCGTCGTCGTCGTCGTCGTCGTCGTCGTCGTCGTCCTCGTTGGCGTCGTCGTCGTTTATTGCGTCGTTGTCGCCGTGGTCGTCCTTCCTCCTCCCTCGCCGTCGTCGTCGTCCGTCGTCGGCGTCTCGTC